AAACATTCAAACGTGTTGTTTATATAAATATTTGACCACACAAGAGTACATTTTGACATATGTCCACTATAACCCAAACACAGATGGAAAGGGTAGGCGTTAGATTGAATTGTAGAGAGAGAGGGAAGGGAACTAACTTTTATTGAGGACTTATGGTGCATTACACTTATTATCCACATATATTATCTCAAAACAATCCTTTGTTATATTATCTCCATTTACTGTTAACTGAAGCACAGGGACATTAAAAATTTTGACCATGCGCCGGCCCCATGGCTTAGCGGTTAAGTGCGCGCGCTCCGCTACTGGCGGCCCGGGTTCAGATCCCGGGCGCACACTGACACACCACTTCTCCAGCCATGCTGAGGCCGCGTCCCACATACAGCAACTAGAGGGATGTGCAACTATGACATACAACTATCTACTGGGGCTTTGGGGGAAGAAAAAGGAGGAGGATTGGCAATAGATGTTAGCTCAGAGCTGGTCTTCCTCAGCAAAAAAGAAGAGGATTAGCACAGATGTTAGCTTAGGGCTGATCTTCCTCATCAAAAAAAAAAAAAATTTGACCATGCTAAATTGCAAGTTCCTTAGGAGAACTGCATTTTTTCCATGACACCTAGAAGTGTTCTGGCACATAATAGGTGTTCAGTTTACCTTTGATGAATGAATAAGTCAATAAATAATAAGCAGAGAATGACACTCTAGTCAGAGAATGACACTCCAAGTTAAAGAAATAAATGTACATAATAATACTCAATAAGGTTATAGGAAAAATATGCCAAGTTTGCTTCCTAGACTTTTTAGAAGTATAACAAGAAAATATGAATCTAAAATTTCCAAATTATACCACAAGTAATGGTTAACTAGACTTCCTGAGGCAAAGTTCATCTTGGTGATCAATAACTAGAAGGTCTATTAGACTTAAAAATATCTACATAGTTTCTCCTGAAATCTCAAGAATATATTTACGTAGCAAACATATTCTTTTTTGGAGTTAATTTACCAAGTGTTACAGAAGAGGTTCTCTTACAACACATCACCTTTTCAAATTTTCTCTCTGACGTTGGCATGCTGGCATTTTGGAAAATCACTAGAAACAAAAGGATAATGAGCAGTTCCCTATTCTTTTTTTTTTCTTTTGAGTAATCACCTGTGCATTTATTAACTATAAGACCTAGAGTAAGTCACTTAAACTTAATAATCTTGGTTTCCTCATAAATATACAAAAAAGGCAATACTAATATTGATATTACAAGGGTTTTCTTTAAACTTTCTAAAATTGAGATATAATCACATGGCATAAATTTACCTTTTTAAAATGTACAGTTCAGTTGTTCTTTTTTTTTAATTTTTTGTTTATTGCAGTAACATTGGTTTATAACATGGTATAAATTTCAGGTGTACATCATCATACTTCTATTTCTGCATAGATTACATCATGTTCACCACCCAAATACCAATTACAACCCATCACCACACACATGTGCCCTATTCTTTCCTCTCGTAGAAGTCTTAACCAGCCTTAAACAAGAAGAAAATGGTAACACTTCTTCCTTTTTCTGTATGTTAGGACTTTTTATAGGGAGAGAGGACTCTGTGCACAGCAATGGATGAGTGAGGGTCCCAATATCAAAGGCTTTGGCCATTTCTTACAGTAATAATGTCTAAAACCCCTTGGTATAGAAGAGAATCCTAGCCAGGAATTCTGTGGCTATCTCATATTTCATTTTAGGACAGTATGTTTTTAGGAATACTCTGTCCCCGTCTCCTCTTTCCTGTAGTACGGGGTCTCAAAGAACTCCCACAGCAGTCAATGGAGCCTGAAAGCTGCTGTCGGGCACATGGTGTTTATTAGTATCAGTGGCAGATTGAATGCAAACAAAAATGAAAAACTCAGTAGAAAAGTTGGAAGATAAATTTGAGGATACCATACTGAAAGTACAGGAAAAGGGCAAACAGATTGAAAGTGGACATCTCAGGATAACAGTTGTGCTCCAGGTGCAGAATAACCAATCCAGATTGGAGCAGATCAGAAGATTCCATGAAAAATTTCTTCAAGATGATAAAATTTTCACACTACCAAATGTGTATGAATGTACTGTGAGGATATATATACAACTGGGGAAAGGTTTGAGGATAAATTAATAGTAAGTATCTAGAAAATTAAGCAAGCAAACATACAAAAACCAAAAACTAAGTAAATAGTGAACTCCAAGGAAACAAAATAATGTTAAGTAGAAAAGGACAAGTAATAATATTATACTACATAATTCAAATGTGTAAAGTATTTACATAATCATAATAATGTTAAGATTAAATATCAAACTAACCAAAATTATGAAATAAGTATACTGGGAAGATAAGAAGAGAAGAAGTGTGCATGTAGGTGAAAGGATCAATGAAGAGCTCTTGAAAGAGATTTTTAAAAAGCCTCGCATTTTGTAGTGGAAAATCAATCAACAATTCCTAGCACTGAAGAATCAAGAAGTAGCAATATAAACAGATATGAGAGAGACTGCTAGGTGTTCCCCAATACCTGTCTTCTCCCTCTTCCAGAATAATAGAAAACTTGGCTGCGCACATGGCTGCCCACAATATTACCACATTTGCAGCCTCCCTTACAGTTAGGTATGACCATGTGACTAATCTTTTGCCAATAGGGTATAAGTGAGTGTGTCTTGTGGCAGTTTCTGGGAATCCCCTTTAGAAGAAAACTGCTACACACCCTCTGCCCCTTCTTTCTCCCCATCTCTGTCATGCTGCCTAGACCACAAATGCCATAATTTTGGACCTTGAGGACAAGGGCTATATCACAGGGATGGCAGAATGGAAGGTGGAAGGCACCAGAATCTCTGAGGACTTCACAGGGCAGAACTGCCATACCAGCTCGAAGTTGTACATCCTCAGACTTATACACGGAATTGAAATATCTTGTCTAAGCCACTGTTATTTTGAGTCTTTCTGTTACTCACAGCCAAACTGAATTCTAATTAATTCAGCACATTATTCATAGATGGGGTAAATACCAAAGGAATTATCTAAAGGAGTGGAAAGTGGCTGACTGACTATTGGGAAATGGTAGGAGGGGAGGAGTGAGGAACCTTGGTTTTGTTGCAAGTTCTGTAGAACTTGACTCCTTAAGCTATGTGCCTGTATAACTTTGATTTAAACAAAAACAAATGACAACAAAAACACATGCTCTACATTTCCCTATTCCTGGCTTTTGCTTAGGCTCCTCATACCATGATCTCATTCTAATTTCTCTTCAGTCATTTGTATTTTTGTGTCATCCCTTTTGCTAGACTCCAAACTCCTTAAAAATAGAAAGTATCTAATGTATTTCTATTTCCTTGTTAGTATATATAAGACATATCATGCTCAATAAATAGAGGATTTAATTTGATTTCCCATCTGGGTCCTAACAAAATAAAAAGCAAGGCTCTGAACAGGACAGTATTTATTTTGAGAAATTTGTGCTTTATGACTTCTCTATATACTTCTACCCTTTCTTCATGAATATATGAGAAAATAATACTTTATTTCTTCCTCTAGAAGAGTTCTGTGTTTTTGGTCACTTGTTCTTTAACGGTACTTCCCTCTTGATTTTCTGGGATAATCTTCTTGTGTGAGTTGAAGCCTACACATACTTGCTCACAAGAGTCAACTGTTAGCATCTCTTCTGAACTCCACATTGAATGAACCATGGAATCAGCCATGGTAGGATCTTTACACCACAGAAATCAACAAATCCTATAAATCAAGGCTTTTTTTCCCCCTTAAAGAGCTGATTGTTAAATACTTACCAGCACACCACTGCCACTATCTAAATCTTATAGAAACATCTTTCAAATGGAATGTAAACTACTGTTCCCATGACTGATCAATGTAATTTTCAATCTATCATTCATTACATAATATGTGAGATATATTTCAGGTCACTTTATGCAATTTTTTAAACAGTGTTACTGAGATATATTTAACATACCATACATACAATTCACTCATTTAATGTGTACAATGAAAAGGCTGTGCAACAATCACTACTATCTAATTCCAGAATATTTTCATCATGCCAAAAAGAAACACTATACCCATTAGCAGTCACTTCCCATTCCTCCCTAACTCCAGCCCCTGGTAACCACTAATCTACTTTCTGTTCTTTATAGATGTGCCTATTCTGGACATTTCATATAAATGTAATCATAAAATATGTGGTCTTTTGTGACTGGCTTCTTTCACTTAGCATGGTGTTTTCAAGATTCATCTATTTTGTAGCATATTTCAGTATTTCATTCCTTTATATGGCTCTATAATATTCTATCATATGTATATATCACATTTTGTTTTTCATTCACTTGATGGACATTTGGGTTTTTCCACTTTTTGGCTTTTATGAATAATACTGTTATGAACATGCATGTATAAGTTTTTGAGTGGACATAAGTTTCATTTCTTTTGGGTATATATCTAAGAGTGGAATTGCTGGGTCATATGATAACTCTATGTTAAAAGTTTTAAGGATTGTTTTCCAAAGCAGCTAAAACATTTTGCATTTTCACCAGAAGTGTATAATGGTTCCAAATTCTCCATATCCTGGATGACACTTGTTATTATCTGTCTTTTTGATTACAGCCATCATAGTGGGTGTTAAGTGGTATCTCATTGTGGTTTTGATTTCCGTAATGACAAATGGTGTTGAACATCTTTTTGTGTGTTTATTGGCCATTTGTATATCTTCTTTGGATACATGTCTATTCAAATCCTTTGCCCATTTTTAAATTTCATTATTTTCCTTTTTATTATTGAAATGTAAGAGTTCTTTACATATTCTGGATACAAGTTCCTTATCAAATACATGATTTGAACATATTTCCTCCCATTCTGTGGTTTATCATTTTCACTTTATTGATGGTATTGTTTACAGCACCTCATACAATTTTTAAAACGTTAATTTATGACACTCATCAACCACAGCATGAAAATTATTGAAAATGTCTTACCCGAACTATTTCACAATCGACATTTAATTCAGTTGCAACTGCTTCAATTTTCTCTCTACAGACAGAGCCAAGGCTAGTCATGCCATTGTCCCAGTACTTCTTAAGAGTGGCTAAGTCTCGGTCACTGAACTGAGTGCGGTCTTGTAGCTGTAAAACACATTTTAAAAAATTAGAATAATCAAAAGAAAGAATATTATAGAGAGGATCATGAGGGTGAGATTGCTAGGTTACTTTCAACACATAACAGTAGCTAAATTAATTTCACAATTCTTACTCTGTGTTCCCCCATTCTGAAATGGGAGTTTTCCTGACATTTATTTCTGTAACATGAAAGTGTGCTAGAATAAAATGTTTAAATTAATTGTACCTGATAGCAATTAAGCAATGTTTATTTTAAATGGTTGCAAGCACAAATAATACATGTTATTGTAGAAAATACGGACAAATTTTAAAAAGAAGTGAAACTAAATCATCCACAATCCTGGAAATAACAATTGTAAGCATTCTAATGTATATTCTTTCAAACTTTTTCTATGATACGCATATTCACATTCACGCTATATACATTTAAAAAATAACAGAGTCAAGATCACAGCACTGTGCTGCCTTTTAATGAGTTAATCTATATTTGCCATACATAGGTCTCCTACTAGTGTTATAATTAAGAAGGTTAATAAGAGAAATGTAATAAGATAACGTAGCCCTAAAAGAACAATCAATATTTATGGCTTCAGAAAGTTTCATTATAAGCCTATCCTTTTTGCTCTTAGATTTTTTTTTACTCAACAAACTATGAAATTTATATATTCTTTTAATTCAGTGAATCCTAGAGGCATCTTTAGGAAGTAAATTAGAAGCATGACAGAATAATAACCTTCATTTTGCTGATAAGGAGTAAAGAAAAGAAAGGTCAAAGGACTAATAAAACAGAGCACAGAGAGTCTATGGTAGAGCTAGAAATAGAAATATATCTGGAGAGAGAAGTCAAGATGGCAGCATAAGCAGACTCTGAACTCACCTCCTCCCACGGACACAGCCAATTTACAACTACTTGTGGAAAAATTACCCCTGAGAGAGAACTGAAAACTGGAAAAGAGGAACTCCTGCAACAACGGACAATCTTAACTGAGGTAGAAGAGGCAGAAACTCCCTTCTGCAGAGGAAAAACGCCACCTTCACAAGCCGCCAGCTTCAAGGTCACGTGGGAGCAGCCCAAAGGTACGCAGCCCTCCCTGGAGGAGCAGGGCCCTGAGCACGGGAGTGGCCCTGCTGTAGGCATTTTTTTGGACCCAGCACAATCGAGATGAGTGGCATAATATCTGACTTTGCCTGCTATTAAAACATTGGGGAGTACCCCCAGAAAAGCTGGTTCACAAAGAAATTAAAACTGGTTCTTAAAGGGCCCACACACAAATTCCCTGTTTCAGAAAGCAACCTAAAATCACCAGAAAGAAAGGTGCACAGTGATTTGGTGAAAAGAGACTCACCTGATAGGCTCTGAGTGCATCTCAGTGAGAAGTGAGACCTCTCCAGGGACTGTGACATTGGCGGGGGCCATTGTTGTGGTCTGGTGTGGGCGTGCTGACATAGACAACATTGGAGTTCTCCCTGGGGCCTGCTAGCCCAAGGTCTGCCCCACCCACTAGAGCACTGATTTAATCCAGCTCAGCCAGGGCAGGCAGCCCACCCTAGAGACTGGCCCCATCCAACAACAAACCCTCAGGAAACTTGTGGGCCTGCATAGACTGGTGACTGGATTCTCTGCAGCCTGGAGACCAGGCCCACTTCAGTGGGGCAGGGCGTGCACATTGAGCAGGTGGAGAGCGTGGGGCAGTGATGGAGTGTGTGGGGCTCCCGCCGTGGAGAGACTGGGTCCACTACAGGAGGTTGAGGCGCGCACATGGGGCAGGACTGTGTTGACTGTATGTGTGGACCTGTGGGCAGTGGGGCTTATCAGCTGCAGAAGACTTGTGCTTCTCAAAGACCCACACAGGGGGTTTGCCCCACCTTCTGAAGCCTGAAACAATTGGGTGCTCCCATGCCTGAGGCCAGCCCCACCCAGCTGCAATCCTCAGAGAGCTGACAAGAGACATAAAGGCTGGAGGCTTATAGCAACTGTAAGCCCCTGAACCTAACAACCTGCCACACTGGGGGCCTACTCACTTAAAAGAAATACTGCAACACAAATGTGGTATTAGAACTTGCAGCCAACTGTGCTGGGGCTCCCCACACCTGATAAAGAGACTGAAGGGCCCACAACAACTACAATCAGCTGAGCATTACAATAGCTGGCCAGGAGCATAACTCAGGCTCCCTGGGCACCTACAGGGAGAGCAAACAGGCCACAATGGAAGGACACACGTAGCCCACATAGGGGTCACTCCTGGAACATTCAGAACTAAGGGAAGCACACTGTGGGCCTCATAAGTCATCACTTATATAAGGTCACCTCTCCAAGAGCAGGAGACGTAGCTGACCTACCTAATACATAGAAAAAAGCACAGGGAAAGAGGCAAAATGAGGAGGCCAAGGAATATATTCCAAGTAAGGGAACAGGACAAGACCCCACAAAAGGACCTAAGTGAAACAGAAATGAGCAACCTAGCCAAGAGAGAGTTCAAACAAAGAGTGTTAAGAATACTCACTGATCTTGGGAGAAGAATGGAAGAACATTAACAAAGAAATGGAAGATATAAAAAAAAAACAATCATAAATGAAGAATACAATACTGGAAATGAAAAATTCACTAGAGGGACTCGAAAGCAGAGTAGAGGATACAGAAGAACGGATCTGTGAGCTGGAAGAAAGACTAGAAGAAATCACCCAAGCTGAACAGGTAAAAGAAAAAAGAATTAAAAAGAGTGAGGACATGGGCCGGCCCCGTGGCTTAGTGGCTAAGTGGGGGCGCTATGCTGCTGGCGGCCCGGGTTCGGATCCCGGGCGCGCACCGATGCACCGCTTCTCCGGCCATGCTGAGGCCGTGTCCCACATACAGCAACTAGAAGTATGTGCGGCTATAACATACAACTATCTACTGGGGTTTTGGGGGGAAAATAAAATAAATAAAATCTTAAAAAAAAATAAAAAGAGTGAGGACAGTCTAAGGGACCTCTGGGACAACATCAAGCACACTAACATCCGTGTTATAGGTGTCCCAGAAGGAAAAGAGAGAGACAAAGGGACAGAGAATCTATTTGATGAAATAATAGCTGAAAACTTCCCTAACCTAAGGAAGGAAACAGACATCCAGGTACAGGAAGCACAGAGAGCACCAAACAAGATAAACTCAAAAAGGCCCACACCAAGACACATCATAATTAAAATATCCAAAATTAAAGATAGAGACTGCTAAAAGCCACAAGAGAAAGAAAATTTAGATACAAAGCAAATCCCATAAGGCTATCAGCTGACTTCTCAGCAGAAACCTTACAGGCTAGAAGAGAGTGACACGATATATTTAAAGTGCTAAAAGGAAAAAACTTACAGCCAAGAATACTCTACCCACCAAGGTTATCATTAAAAATGGAAGGAGAGATGAAAAATTTCCCAGACAAGCAAAAATTAAAGGAGTTTGTCACCAAGAAACCAGTACTACAAGAAATGCCAAAGGGACTTATTTAAGGGGAAAAGAGAAGACCACAAATAGGAAAAATTATCTAATTCCATAATAAGAGGGTAATGGATACAGATGCACAAAAAAGAGCTTAGATATGATATCAAAAACATAAAATGTGGGAGGAGGGGAGTTAAAGAGCAGAGCTTTCAGGGGTCAAACTAAAGAGACCATCAATTCTGTATATGGACCCCATGGTAATCACAAACCAGAAACCTATAATAAATACACAAAAAAATAAGAGAAATGAACCAAAACATAATACTAAAGAAAGCCATCAAACCACAAGGGAAGAGAGCAAGAGAAGAAGAAAGGAAAGGAAAAGACTACTAAAACACTGAGAAAAAAATTAAAAAATGGCAGTAAGTACATACTTATCAATAGCTACTTTAAATGTCAATGGAGTAAATGCTCCAATTAAAAGGCATAGGGTGGCTGA